CTTGCTGAAGATCCTCAGAAGAAAAGCAGAATAGCCCCAGTCAGTTGTGACTGATCCTGGCCACTGTTCATCTCAGGGCTTTCTCTCTGTCCCGAAAAGTTCATGGATCAGGTTTGCATTTGGTGTTTGAAACCTCTCTTCTGCTCTTTACCAGATCTGGAAAGGGCCAATCCTGAAGCCCAAAAATTACTATGTCCCTGTAGCTTGTCCAGACATTCTCTTGCTGCAAATAATGACAAGAGAGGCTGGGGCAGTCACCAGCAGCAGGCTGGGACAGGCTATGGGGTGTGGGGAGAGGATGTGGTTTCTACCACATCATGGACCCAGACACACACTGAGAGACTGGAAGCATCTCTGATGGCTTTTTGATGAACAGACATCTGAAATCAAGAGTGGGGCCAAACTGGTCCTCTCAGGTCCCACCCAGTCCAGACTCCTGGCCAGGTTGAGGCTGCCTCCAGCAATACCCTTCTGTATTGCCGGGGACATGGAAGGACCCAGGAGTCCAAACCATGCATGGGATTACTGCCAGTCACCAAGGGCTGCATGGAGGCTCTTCCCAGGGAGGAGCACAGCACTTTGGCCACATGTAAGCGCTGAGAGATTTTATAAATCTGAAAGCTGATTGATTTCAAGAAACTGGACTTTGGAACAAAGGTCTTCCTACCTAACATAACTGTCATCTCATGATTTGTGTTTGGATGCAGCAGACCCAGTAGTCCTGGCATGGTGAACACCTTCCTCTGGTTTGTGGAGGTGTCCTGGTGAGAGGGCTGCATCTGAAGAGAAACAAGTGTCATGTACGAGTCAGCACAAAACAAGCTGCAGCTGGGGAAGGGAAATCATTTCACTGTGGTTTGGTTCTTGGGGTGGAAAAGATGAATCCAACACCTTTGCACAACACTTGGTGTGCTGTTGTTGTTCACCCAACCCAAAAGAAGGGGTGACATCAGCTGACCTTGCGACAAACCAAGGGCACAGGGGGACAGTAGACTCAGAACACCACTCTCATAGCTAATATCCTTCTGTAAGTTACTCGTGACTAAAGGTTTGTTATGCTAGCTGTGCGGAGAGAGCTCGAAGCTCTTCATTTAGCTGTGTTTGGTGCCTGTGGCATTTCAGTAGCATCACTCAGCAACCTCAGGATGATTAAACACAACAGCCTGATGTGGAAAAGAACCACTAGACTTTATTCCCAAATGGCATTTATAAAAACAAACGAAGACGCAATCGAGGATGTGGGAACATTTGGCCCGTGGGACACAGCACGGCCAGGTCTGTGACATCAGCATCTGCAGAGCAAGGGGCCAACCAAGAGGAGAGGGGCAGAGAAGGCAGCTCCTGGTCAGGTCCAGCAAAAGTGCTGCATGCCCAGACATCACCACCCTCACCCCTCCCCAAGCCTCCCCAATTGCTTCAGTTCACTGCCAGGACTCAGGGACATGAAATTCAACCCCTGCCCTGGCCTTTGCATCAGACTGGCATGGGGACGCCAGGCCCTGCATCCCCAGAACAGGGACTCATACCTGCAGCTAGGCAGGTTTCTCTTGTTTGCCTCTCCTTCCAGCTCTCATCACTGAAGAGCAACTCGTGGCCCACAAGCTGCACCCAACAAATTCCCAGACCATCTCTGTTCTCCATGGACTCTCCCCAGACCATCTCTGTTCTCCATGGACGTGCTTTTTTCACAATATTGGCTTTTCTAGTCCACACACAGTGCCTGCAGACAGTCTTGGTCCCACCTGCCCCTGAAGCTGGCACTAAAGGTTCTTCTAGTAAGGACCTGATAAACTTGGGTCACCTGAGATCCACCACGTGGCCTCAGCATGGCTGTAGATGTGGCACAGAGGGTGTGGAGAAACACCCAGGAGAAACACAGTTCTGACCCACTGCAAGTCAGACCATGCTGGTTAATGCTGTCCTCTGTGCTCTGGGCAGAAAATACACACACACACCCTTCCCAGATCCATTTAATCCTTGAGCAGCTTCTTACCCCTAAACAGATAAATAAATCCAGAAGATCTTTCTTCATGTCACAGCACCACCAGAGCACATACAGCTCCACATGCCTTTTGTGCTGTGTCCCAGGCTCATGGCTGCTGCTCTGCAGGACCAGTCAGACACATGGCCAGAGGAAGGATCAACCCAGCCTGAGGCAGGGCACCACCAGCACCAAGTCCTGCTGGTCCTGGGAAGGGAGTGGCCAGCAGAAGAGCAGGTCTGCAGGGAACTAACCTTGGAAAAGGACACCTTCACCCCAAAACAGGCCATTTGAGGTATTGTTAGGTTGAGGGATCTTCCTTTAGTCTCCTCTTGTGCAGGACCAGCAGAAGAACAGACTCCAGCTCGGCAGAGCAGGCAACATGGGGAAGGCTGAGGAAAGGCTCTGTGAAAGCAGTGCATCTAGCCAGGGACCGAGCTGAGGAGGACAGCTATCCTTCACCCAGAGCGGTCTTTGGAAAAGACTTTGTACCCTTAATGCTTTGGCTGCTAGGACATAGTGTTGGATTCCTCATTCTCAAGCCCATTCCTCTATGGAAGAAGAATACAGGAGAGCCTGCGAAGCCTTGGGAAGTTACAGATAACTCCTCAGGCCCATCTCCTGGTAGCCAAATACACCCTGTGGTTTTCATTCAACACATCGCTGTGATGATGCTGGTGACTGATTCTCACTGAAAACACATACAGCAGTGCTGTTTGTCCTGCTGTTGCAGCCCATTTCACTCCACTGGTCTAATGCCTCCAAACTGGTGCAAGTCTAAAAGTGGCCACTCTCCCTCCTCCAGGTTGGAAAGTTTCCCTTATTTTTAATCTTTTGCTTCTTGAGGCTTTGCTTTCCCCACATTGGCAGTATCTAGCTAGGATGGAGGGATCTGCTGGGAAGAGCTGCAAGGTTTTTTCCAAAGCCACTATTCCCCAAAAACATAATAGTACCTCTGGGGAATGAGAAACTGCAGATGCCACCTGGAGATGTGGCTGAGCTGGTGATCCTGGTGCCATTCAGCATGTTTCACACCAGTTCCAAATTCCTTATGGTCTCTGGTGAAAACACACCACGCTCCTCCACTAGGTCTCTGTCCCACCACACCACTGACAGTCCTTTGTGCAGGTACAGAGACCTTGGGCTGTATATGACATCAAATCTAGCTCCAAGAGTTTGAGTTGAGACTCCAGGCAGGTCTAGCACTATGTGGGAGAACAGCCTTCAAGTTGCAGGTTGAAGGCCCACTGGGTGAAACACTGCACAAACACTTTTTGGTGGACAGATGAATGATCCCTATGCCAAGAGCTTACAGTCTACAAGAACAGAGCCAAAGCTTCACCACTAAACAGACATTATGCCTGTTTACACCCACAAACATTTTTGTCCCAGCAGAACATGGCTTTCAGACCAACGGATCAGCAACCAGCTGCTCTGGGGGCAGGGACTGGATTGCTCACTTCCTAATTTGCAGTGCCAGACCATTTCTAGCTGTGATTCTTTCCACCTCTGGTTCACATCTGCAACCCCTGTGCACCCTCCTTGGCCCACAGAAGAAAAGCACTATATCTAAACACCTTCCTTGGCTGCCTGAGCCCTGGGGCATGTGAGAGTGTCCCACGTTGCTGAGGAGCTGATGGGTGCTGAGCTCAGAAATGGGTGAGATGCTGGATGATGCTGGACCCAGCTCTCCCCCATTTCAGCCTCACAATCTGTTGGCACCGTGCTCACCACCACATCTGCAGTGGGATGGGAAGTGGGGAGGCAGACCCCTTCAGCTCTGAGCCACAATTGAGGGTGGTAGAGAGAAATCTAGACTCTAATGGTACTGGGATGTGTCTGACAAAGCTCTTCTGAGAGAAGGTATTAGCCAGTTAGTTGGTATTTCAATAAGGCACACCCTCCCCATCATTGCCTTGGCCAGCACAGGTCAGCAACCCATGGGGGGCCTGGCTGACTTCCCAAAACCTTGCCAGATGCCTCCATGCCTGGGTGTGCCTTGAGTGTGATGCCAGGAGACCCAGTCAGAGTCCGACAGAGCAGACTAGTTCCTGCAAGGGACAGGTGCTTTAAGGCTCTGAAATATAAGGCAGCTCCAAGGCTCTCCAAGCACCTCAGAGTGCATCTCTTTCCCACTGCACAGATCTCAGCCTCAGAGAGGTGGTACCCCAAGGCCATGGGGATGGACAAGGAGAAGGTTCTGGGTCTGGGGGCACAGGGAAGCAGGAGAGCAGGATGTTTCTTTTGGGAATTTGGAAAGCATCAAGGGAATTTGGGTTCCTTCAGCATCATTTGCTTTTAACAAGCAAATAGGTAAAGGCTGTTTGATGTTCCAGTTGCAACTGCAAGAAACCTTAGCTAGGAAAAATATACCCTTGCTAAGTTCCTTCTCCATTTTTAACCAGGTTTTCCATCCGAGAAATTAGAGACCAAGACTATGATTAAATAAAGACCAGTGCATCGCCTTAGCTCTTCCCTTCCCCACCATCCTTCCTCACTCTTGACCACCCAGACAGTTAATTTTACAGTTTGGGCGACTCTGCCAAGCCTCACAGGTGCCAGGCAGCTCAGGCCAAAAGCTGATTGTCCCTCCTAGGCTCCAGGCTCTCTGCAACATCCTCCAGTTCATCCAGGATTTCAGAGAAAGACGGACGCTTAAATGCCTCCACCTGGAACGAGAAGGGAAAGCTGAGGACACTCCAGATGGGAAGTTGGAGCTCTGCAGCAGCTCTGCCAGCTCCCCCCAGGCTGGGCAGTGGCATCCATCCACCAGTCTGGGTCACACATGCCTTCCTGGCGTCATGCCCTGGAGATCCCAAAGCCCACTTAAACTGTGCAGGGGCAGATGTCATGCAGGGCAAGGCTGCAGGTAGGTATCAGGAGAGAGATGTATTGCATCAATCCCTGTGCTTTTTCATGACAGTCAGGACCTAATTGTCTTGTCTCCCTGATGCAGTTCATCTTCTCTACTGAAAGTAAGGGACGTAGCCAGAACACCCCTATCCTTCACCTCCACTGTGCTACCCTGGGGTTGCCCTTTGTGCCTGACCCCATGCAGCAGCCTGGGGAGCTGCTCGAGGAGGTCCCCAAACCTGCACATTGCACACAGGCAGAGAACAACAGCCCCAAGAGTCATGTCTGGCAGAAACCCATTATTGTACCAACGTGCATCAGGAAGCTGCTGTCAGAGATACAAGACCTGAGCACACTTAAATCACAGCCAGCTGCTGACTCTGCTCTGATTCAGAACACATTATTCATTCACATGTCCTCGGGACCCAGGTAAAGATTTGTTTCCATCTGCTGCCTTGAGCTCCCCGCAATTAGATGCATTAGGATCGCTTGATGACTCAAGTTTGTTTCTTTCTTCCTTTCAGAGATTAACTTGAATCCTCACTTTCTCACTTCTTTGCCTCCCGAGGCTTTGGGCAGCTCCCTGAAACACGGGGAGAGCCCCCAGATTTCACCATTACCTCTTATGTTAATGCAAGGAAGGTTGGAGGACTATGCCCTGATGACAGGTAGCAGTGAGGCAGTGCCCTCCTGGGAGGGTTGGCCAGGTGTCCCTGCCTGCAGCCTGGCTTAAGGAGGGACTAGACATCATCACCAACATGCTTCCCACCCTCGGTCAACATGTAAGGGAACAGGGATGTTTCAGGTTGTAATACACAAACTAAACACTTCTAGGGACAAACCTGCATGCTGGACAAAATAAGCATACTTCTGGCCCAGGAAAATCTCATTTCTTCACAGCTCAAGTGGCAGAGCCCTGTGCACTGAGAGCAGCAGGCTCAAGCTCTCCAGGGTACACAACAGTTTTGGTCTCTGTCATACAAGTGCACTACAAATTCAATAAAATCAAAGGTCGAAAAACTCCCAAACCTAGCAAAAGTCTCACCCAACAGCAGCTAGCAGCGAGGTCCATCACCTGCTTGGGGCATTCACCGATCATCCCTTGGAAGGCAGCAACATCCAAGCCATAATCCTGTGAGGAAGAGCATGCAGAAAATACTTCAGCTACAAGGTCCTTTAAATGCTCTTTATCCTTCTCAAGATGTTAAAGCACAAAATGCTCATGGTTTAAAGCTTTCAGGGTCTTCATCACATCTGTTTTACTGATGGCTATGCAAAGGGGCAGCATCAGCTCTGGCAGGACTGCATGGATGTAAATCATTAGCAGAACTGGGACACAGCAGTATCCTCTGCCTGCTCTGTGCTATCCCTGCAGAGCAGTGAGTGTCCTCCTGGAGAAGCTCAGACCAAGGCAACAAAGAGCCACAAAAGTGGAAACCAGTAGAGAACCAGCATCAGGTGCTGAGCAGGGGCTGTTGGGGACAGGAACTGCAGGTAATCTGGTCTTTCAGTAGCAACTGAGAGTCAAAGGAGTCCAGCCAGTTCTCTCCACAGCTACAGCTTTGTCCCTCCAGACTTCAAAGCCTCTGAAATGTGACTGTCCTTCACCTTGTGAACACAGATGGAACATTAATTCCTGTGGAGACACACTGAAACATGGAATAATCTCTGGTCACTGCACGTTCTTTGTATTGCTCCTTGGAAAGCAACAATTTACTGTTTCCTGACTGGATTTTACATCCCTGTTCAGGACAAACTTTCCTTTCCCACTTTGTTGCAAATGCGGAAACAGGAAAGGCCACGTTTTTAGGGAAGCCACTGTTTCCACATGAACTGTGTATTAACTGCAACATGTTTGAAAATAAACATTTGTGATGAAAGTTGTGCTCAACCTGCCACTTCAGTGGAGAAGCTGAGGTGCCAAAGCAAAACAAAATATCTGGAATTAAGGTCTTTAAGCAGAAGTGTTTCACCTCAAATTGTAGCTCTAACAAGCTTTGAAACTAAAGATGTGCTGAAGTCTTGTGCACCGAAAATACTGAGATCAGATTTTCTCATGGGAAAAACCTGAGAGAAACCTGAGAGTGAACATACACACATGTACAGGTCTGTCTGGTCCAGAGAGAAGCCACAGTCTGGCACCATGGAGAAAACACCACTAGATTTGGCTGCAGGAGTCATTACCTGCGTCCTGGGAAGCACTTCAGGGTCGGCTGGGATCCTGCCCAGGATTTCACAAAGGACGATGCCAAAGGAAAACACGTCCACCTGCAGAAGGGGTGGGAGAACAGGAGGTGGGATGGAGCATGCACGGAAGCAAAGCACGAGAATGGGGAGTACCAACAATGTCCTTTATTAGTTATGCAAAAGTGCCTCACGAAAGCTCATGGGAGATGGAGGCAGCAAGGCCCTAAACTTCTCCTGGGCTTCTGAATCCACCCAGAAACACCACAGCCCCATTTGGAGTCCAGCCTTGTCTTTGGGAAGCCTGGCCCTGTGCTCTTGTTCAATATGTCTTGGTTGCTTCTACCACAGCTCTGGCACACTCCCCAGACCCTCCACTGTAACTCATCAGACACTGTAATTCATCATTGGCTGTAACTCATCAGACACCTTTCTCAGAGAGGCATCAACTGTGTTTGTCCACAGTAGCAACAGGTTTCCCTAGAAGTTTAACTTAATGTGACTACACAGGACCTTTCAAGTTGCTAAGCAGAGCATTACTGAGCAAAGGCCCAGGAAGCAGGGCATGTACTGGGAAGGAGGAAAGAGCTTTTGTACTGTTGGGATATATCACTGGCAAGCACAGGAGACATGTCCCACACTCACTCGAGCTCTGAGGATGACTGAGGAGCTGGGAATCAATGCCATCCATACCTTTCGGTCATAGGGCTCTCCCCGCAGCATCTCAGGAGCCATCCAGAAAGCAGAGCCCACCAGAGACAGCTTCCTCTCCACATCCTTCACAGGCAGCTCCACCACTTCCCTGGCCAGCCCGAAGTCTGTCACCAGTGCCTCCCGGCCCCGCGGCGTCACTCGGATGAGGCAATTCTGAAAGGAGCACGGGGGTATGGCATGACACACCAGTGAGGGAGGGCCTGCAGGCTTCCCTGAGCCCCACCTCGCCAGCACCTGCATCGTGGTGGCACACACAAAGTGATGGGGCAGGTGAGGGACGGACTGATCACACCTTTGAAGAAACCGTTCAACAGACATGACGATTCACATCCTTTCATCTAAAACAGATCTCGAAACACACACTTCAACCTCGTTCACTGTCCAGCTGAAGGTGGGCAGGATCCTAGTCACAGCTCCTCTCACTGCCCAAAGCCACACACCCCTAACACTGTGTTCTGGAGGAAAGGATAATCATGAAGTTTCTCTAACCCCAGCAGTTTCAGCATGTTCAGTTCCCTAGGATTCCTCCTCGGCAGTTTTCCACAGTGAATTGGCAGAAACAACTGACATCATCTGATGGCTTTCCCTAGCAACTAGATTTCAAGAGTACACACTTCTCTCCCACACCTTCAGCCATCACCACTGCAGGTTCCATGGGTTTTCCTGGGGAAGGATAAGTCTTTTTCAGTGTTGAGCCACCACAGCGAGACAATGGACCAGCAGCGGCCTCCATCATTTTCCACAAGCAGATCTGGAAAGCCTCTGAGCTCATCACCAAGTAGGAAATTATATCTCACCTGACTTTAGAGCACATTGGCCAAAAACCTGTCATCAGAGTTAGCCAGGCCCATGCCTTGTTCCTGCCTGGTGTTTGTGACTGGTAACTGAAGCAGGGAAACAGCCAGAGGTCACAAAGGTGAGTTTTATCCCTGTGCTGATGTCACTCAAGGCTGTAATGCCTGGCTGTCTTACCCACTGCCAGCCTTCATCAATAGCTCAAGTTTCTCATAAAAGGCTCACAGAGCACAGACAAAAATGGCTTGTACAAGATACACCACTACCTATCCAGCATCAAATGCAAGGACTTGCAGGCTCCACGACCAAGAATCACCAAGCCAGCCTCTGGTGTCAGCTGACACAGACACCGTCCAGGCTGGTGGCCAATTCTTCAGCTCACATTCCCTATGATATCATGGACTTGCTGCAGATCCACCTGATGTTTGGATAGACCTGGACCCTCTGGTACAAGGGAGAACAACTTCCATACACTGTGTGAGGAGACACCCATCTCCTGAGCTCTGCTGTGCTCTGCACACAGACAAGACATCTTCCAGAGCCCATGACCACTGCCTGTTAACAGCAGCTTCCTCCTTGCCCTGAGCAAGAAAGGAAATCTTCAAATCTGGTAGAAATTCTCCTGCAGCTGCAGGCAAAGAAAACCATGCGAAATCCTGCACAGATTCCATCTGGTGTCTTTTCTGACAGCAACAGCGAAAGTGATACATTTTTATCTCTCTCTGGATCTCCTGTTTGGCATGTGATGGATACAACGTAATGACAGGTTTTATCAAGAAAGCTTCCCAGGCCGCAGGAAGGCATGAGCATGGAGCAGAGGAGCAGCATGAGGCCTGAGGCACACTGGTTACAGCCGTGCAGGGTCTCAGTATGGTCCTCTATCCCACTGCCTTCACCGTGATAGCCACTTTCCAGCTGCATACCTTGGAATTGAGATCTCGGTGGTAGATGTTCTTAGAGTGCAGGTAGATCATGCCTCTGGTGATGTCAGAAGCTAAGTCCACTTTTTCCTTCCACGTCAAAGCAATGTCTTTGCTGGCTAGGAGCTCCTCCAGGCAACCTCCATTCACGTACTGTGAACAGAGACAAGAAGTGGGTGGCTGTGTAGCTGGGGACTGGCTCCCCTGGAGCCTCCCAGGTGCTGAACCCTCCCGGCCCACCCAGTGCCCCTCCACTGGGATGGAGGTTTGGAATGCCACCATAGCGGGGCCCTCGTGTGTGGTTTGGTGGTGATACCCATCCTGGCACAGCAGGTCCCTGCCAGGCTCCAGGCTCTGTTTCACTGCAGGGGGCTGTACCAGCCAGCCATGGTCCTCTCTCACAGGCAGCAAACAGCCTGGCAGCAGTCCAGGAAACACCTTCTGCTCTTGACAGTGCAGGAACAAGGTGAGACCTCCCTGGTATCAGTCCAGGTTTTTTCATTAGACCACACAACCGTTGCAGAGCCAGTCTCAGACAGCTTTTACCTTCTACTCCTGCCCTTCAGCCCTAGCTCCTCTTCTACTGCCAGCTGGCCCATTCAGGCCGTTTGGTGGCACCAAGCCAACTTGAAACACTCTTTGGCTATCCTGCCTGAATCTCATGGCCCTGCAGTGACTGTGCCCCACTCTAGCTGTGGGGCAGAAAGGACCAGAAGCTCCTCTAAGGCAATCATATTTGTCCAGAGCCATTCACAGGCACAGGAGTCAGGCTGATGTAAATATGCACTACAGGATATTAACCATCCCTCCTGCCAAAGAACCACAGGGTCCTTGCCTGCCCACAGAACACTTACAAGCAAGAAACCTTTACCTCCAGAATGGGGTACAGCTTGTCATCCTTCACACATATTCCAAGGTACCTAAGCAGAAAACATACACACAAAAAAAAAAAATTAAAAGAAGCCATCAAGGTTCAGCTCAAACCGCCTTGCAGACACCAAGCTAGCTCCAGTCTCTGCCAGTGCCCAGGGCTCTTGGTCAGAGGATGTGCCCACCTGACAATGTTGGGGTGGGACAGCTTCTGCAGCAAGCTGATCTCACGCACGATCACCTCCTGGTCCACGTCATTCTTGTAGATCTTCACCACCATCACTTTACAGGCAGCAGCCTGGGTCACCTGGAGCCAAGGTTGGAGCAGGACATCTCTTAGCTTCCAAAGATCAGCCAGAACTTCTACACAACCGCATCCCTTCCCAGCCAAAGGCCTGAATCTCATTTCCCTGCTGCCCAGGGATTTGCACAAGTCCAAGGCACTGTCCCTTCCATATAAGCTCCACACCAGTGGAGCTTCCCTGGGTGGCTGGGGACAGCTAGGTCCTTCCTGACTCAACATACCACAGTACCATTTCTCTGTCAGAATTTGTATATTCCTCATGCTGGAGCAGTTTTCTCAGCCCAGAGTGGGTTACTGCAGAGCAGACTTTTCCTAATAACAGCTTGCCCCACATCCCTTCTTCCTGCCTGGGTCTGACCACTGCACAAGAATCCTGGCCACATGACTCAACCCCTTCTGCACCCCTACCCACATCCAGCTCCCCCCACCCCAGGCTCTGCCAGACAGATGCAACCAAGGAAGCAAAGAGCCAACTTCTCATGCTGACTTGAAACTGCTATGGATTACCCCCAGACATGTCACCCCTAGGGCTTCCCTCTGGCAGGGATACTGGAAGCTAAAGAACAGAAAACAAAACAATTTTTCCCACCTTAGAACACTGAACAGCCTGAGCAGGCAATTTCAGATTGGCTGCCCCCCAGCAAGGCACCAGGGCTGGCCTGTGCTGAATGCAGAGGGTTTGTGAAGGGGCTGGCTCTCAGACCATCCAAGACCCCTGCACTGCAGCTCATGTTGTCTGGGTTGACAGTCCAGACCACCTCACAGGACAGTGTGGTACTTTAACACTTCCACCCTCAATTAATATCTGTTTGGAGAAGACTCATGCATCAGATGGGGCTCACACCGATGGTCTGATAGCTCCACCAGGGCTAGCAGAGAATCCAGCCATGTGTTTAATTTTCTCTCATTTCAAGGTTTGTGGAGATTTGTGTGTTTGTTTTAAGGGAAAAACAGTATAGACACAGCCTAAGCTGGCTTAGAAGGGACACTCTTAAAAAAGTCCTCAAGTGTCACCCATTGCTCCCTGTGATGGGTCACTTCATGGGTAAGGTTACAGCCCAGGTGAGGAGAATAAATAGCTGCATGTAAAACTTGCCTGGGCTATAAGGAGAGAAAGGTTCATTATAATCAGGGTCACAACACAAACTGTCTTGGGAGCAACATGAACTGTTGCTTCCCTTCTGAAGGAACACAACCTGACCATCAGTGTTACTGCTGAAGTAACTGCCTCTCCTTGAGCAGGTCTAGGGCTCTGACCTCCTCACCCGAGGGGACTTCACCACAGACTGTGGGTCACTGATCAGATGGAACTGAGCATTAACTGTAATTGCACAGATGTAAACACAAGAGATGCTGTCACTCGTCTCTGCTCATAGAGTGTGAGGGCCCTTATGAGTACAGGGAGCAGATGAAATCTGACAGTTGAAAAAATTTCTGAAGAGCCAATACTGAGTTTCAGTGAGACCTATTAGCCCTGCCCAAACTCTGGAGGCGACACTGAGCCACGCTGAGCTTCCAGGCGAGGGCACATGTCCCAGCTGGACCCAGCAGAGCTCCCTGTGTGGGCAGCGGGTCAGCCAGCACTGGAGGAGTTCCTCTCTGCAGGGCAATGCAGAGTCCAGCCTGGGCTGGAGAAGAAATGCCTGAAAAGCAAGGGCAGACCCACACCAAAGAAAAAAGTAGTGGGAGAGATGGGCAAAGGCTCAGAGGCCTCTTCCAAGACCACAGGCCCTAAGACTTCACTCTTACCAACCTGGAGTGGCTCTTGGTCCACTCTGAACCACAAAGTGTCCAGCTTTGTCCTGGAGGGATGTAAGGACCAGGCGAGTGCAGAGGGGCCTCCACGGTACTCATATTTCATGCTAACAAGTGATGAGTGCTCAAGATTTGAAGCCAGCCTTAAGTGGATAAATAAAGGTGAAAATCTGGCACAGGAAGTTGCAGAAGGACAGGACTGGGACTGTGTCTCCTAATGTGTGTGAAGATCTGGGCAGTGCCTTAAACCAGCTTCCACAAAAAGAAGTCATGCTGCATTTCTCTCCTGCTTTGGGCACCTCAGTCCCCTGTGTATCAAAGCAGCCAATGGAAGAAGATTTATGCTTTCCATGAGGGAAACTCATACTTGAGTCTCCTTATTGCACGTCTGAAAACTAAGGCAGAGAAAGAGGGAAAGTACCTTATACCCAGGCTACACAATACACAACCCACAGAGCAGCAGGCTGTGCCTCAACCTCGAGTCTGAGTCACCAAGTAGAACTAAGTGAATCCTCCTTCCTCGGCCAACCCACAAGTAGCAATTCCTGAGCTTAGCCGAAGGACAAAGGATGGGGAAAACAGCAGGCAGCCAGCATGGCAGTGCTAGTATGCTGTGTCCCTGCAGTGGCAGCTTTGGAAGAGCATCTGTTGGCAAAGAGTTCCAAAGAACCATTGCCAGTGATGCTTCCTAACAGAAGTGCTGCTGTCCTGGGCTGCGGGTCCACAGGGCACTGGCTGAACCAAGAGCACCACAAGTCATCAGAACACTTGGCTACAGTCATGCTCAAGTCCCCAGACAAATGTCAAGCCCACACAAAGGACTGTCCTTATCCCAAGTGCTCCTCCAATGTCACTGACCATTTGACCCATAGCATTTCATTAAAACTTTATTTCTTTTACATTTCTTTATCTGCTTCTACTTCAAGAAGTTACTTCATTTTCATTCAAGATCTGTATCTCCAGCCTGCCTACTGCTGGAATTTCATTCACTGCCAGGGCAGGAAGAAAATGTCACACACAGAGGAAACAGCAACTGTTAGTATGAAAATCTGCTAGATAAAGGAAAGAGAAAGCAATGGCAACAGCACTCTGTAGAGGTGGGGAAAACAATTTCAGAGGGTGGCTGTGGTATGGAGAGGTGTTTCTTATGCATTTCACAGAGCAGCCACAGACTTGTAAGATCCCCTTAAACAACTTAAGAACACTGGCCCTGGGCCTGAGCCTCACCCGAAAGCCCTATCACAGCACCAAGACCAGGTGCTGCAGAGGAGGAGACAGCACTTTGAGAGAGCAAAGTGCATTTATTTATCTGACTGGCATATTTTCTGCTGTTCCATGGCCAGATCCTGCCAGCCTGACACCAGGAGTTTCTGCTGCACATATGTGCCTGCACCAGCCAGGGATCCACTCTGAGTATGTCTGAGCATCTTATGCTGGCCTCAGAGAAATGTGCAGTCCTGATATTTATCATGGGGCTGATCAAGCCAAGGAGCTCAAGGCAATGGTAGAATCAGGCCCATGTTTTTTCTGCTGTGTCTGTGTCATGTTCCCATGACCAAGACCAGCGTCAATAGCCACATCCTGGAGGACTGCTGGGAGAACAGACAAGGTGGGCAAACCTGGTCACACTGCAAAGCAACGTGGCTCTCAGGGATGATGGCTGAGTCTTACTTCCTAATGCAGATCACCTCCTTCCACTTTGCTGTTCACACAGCAGAGATCACACAGGGGCACAGTGAAAGAGCCCCAAGTCCCATCCATCCCCCCTAAATAAGTAGTGGCACTCCCAGGCTGAGGAGCAGCACTGGTGGGGGAGCAAAGCCAGCAGCACCCTGCTTGTGCTTGCCCAGAAAGGGTTAAACTCCCACACCAGTAACCCCTAAACCCTAAACCAGATCCTCCAGCGCCAGATCCAGATGCCTCTTGAACACCTCCAGAGATGGTGACTCCACCACATCCCTGGGCCTGAACACCTTAACAGGAAAAACATTTTTCCTAACATCTCTTCTGACTCTCCCCTGTCTCAGCTCAAGGCCATTCCCTCTACTCCTCTCCCTCCAGCCATGGCAGGAAAGACCATCCCACACCTCTCTCTAACCCCTGTCAGGGAGTTGCAGAGAGCCATGAGGTCACCCCTGAGCCTCTTCTCCAGGCTAACCAACCCCAACTCCCTCAGCCCTTCCTCATGTGCTCCAGCCCTTTGCTGCCCTTGCTGCCCTTGGCTGGACATGCTCCAGTGCCTCAATGGCCTTTTTGCAGTGAGTGCCCAAAGCTGAGCACAGCACTGAGCTGGGACCTCCCCCGTGCTGAGTCCAGGGGGATGAGCACTGCCCTAGTCCTGCTGCCACACTGGTCTTGAGCCAGGCCAAGATGTCCTTGGCCTCCAGGCCACCTGCCCCAATGCTGAGCACTGGGTAACACCACTAGTGACAGCCCCAACTGGATTGTGCTCCATTCACCACAGCTCTCAGGGCCCAGACATCCAGTCAGTTTTTTATCCATTGAAGCGTTCTGTTACAGTTTTGACAACAAAACCTTCACAGAGCCAAAATATCTCCTAATCTCTTTTGACATTCAGTTTAGCTCCCTGACAAGCCTGTGTACAGCTGGATGACTACCAGTGAACACTGACTGACCAGGTCCTCCCATCTGCTATTTCACTACAAAAGGGGAGATGTGCATCAAAGGCAATGGGCTCAGTATGCAAGGGCAGGTGTCCTGTGCTCCCTCACCCCATCCCACAGTTTGCTGGGAGGTATGAAGACAAGGAAATAAGCTTGGGGACAGGTTCCTCAGGTGAGGTGTCATCTACACAGCCTCAGCACCTGCTCAGCTGCTCTCACACAGGTCAGAGCTGCCTGCAGGTCAGTTTTACCTTGTAGACCTTGGAGAAGAAGCCGCTGCCTATCAGCTCGGTGTTGAAATTTTCCCAGAACTCCAACTTCCTGACAGCTGTGCGCAGCCTCTGCCAGCGATCCAGGTGGAAGTAAGTGTCAGACGACTCCCCATAGTACTGCATGGGGCCAGAGAGCTCCGGGGAGATCAGCCGTGCCTCGCACATCATGGGGGCAGCAGCTGGAACACAGGGGATTCCACAGTGAGCCGAAAGTGGCACCTGGACATCACACACCTGCACTAGAGACCAGGACTGCATGAAGTCACAGGAACAGAGGAAGAGAAGACAACGAGATGGTGCACTGGGAAGCACCCTTTGGCATTGTCTCCTGGATAGGTCACCCTTCATAAGTCATAAGGCTTAGTTCTACCTTATGCAGGTTGTATTGGATTTTAGACTAGGACTTAAAGATGTCAAATTAGCATATATGCACTTACAGCTTCTAAAGGTTTACCATAGAAAGGATGCATCCCCCACAATATACAATAGTGCAGTCCAGGAAATGTTGGGTTAAAACTATTGTGCCTAAGTTGGGCTTTTAGCATAGGTCACATACCACATCCTAATGCCACATCACATCATTTAGACAGCACTTAGCTGCTATTGTAGACACTGGGTCACGGCTCGAGTGTGCCAGCAGGAAACGCTCCATCTTAGAAGGGTTCTCACTAGGCAAGTGTCTACAGTTCATTATAAGCCCTAAAGAATGGCAGAAGGAGGAAATGCCCCAGCAACTCTCCTCCTGTTTGTGTATCCCAAATTTGGCTCTAAGGCCCAAGCGCCTCTGTTGAATTGTCTTCCTTTTACACTGCACTCTCACAGTCCCTCTCCAGTCCCCTCCCTCCTTTCTGCCTTATATAGCACCAGTCTCACACTCCTTCACCTAAAGCCATGTGCCATCCTTTCCCTTTTCCCACATCACTTGCCTCTAGATACTTCCAAGAATGCAGGGGAGGTAAATCCAGTGGAAAATGGACATCTGACACCCTGAGTGGGATGAATAAAGCACCTACTTCTGGTTCATTCTAAACAACCATTGGTACACTATGAAGCTGTCTGAGCACCTTCCACCTGTGGCAGGTGCTCAGATTCCTGGGGGCCTGGTGAACTGCTTTGCCAGATGGTAACTAGGGACCAACAGCAAACGAAGGGTTTACTGGAACACTCCCAGCTGAAGCAAAAGTAAGCTCTTCCCTACTGAATTTTCTGACCTAGGTCCTTCACTGAACAAGGAGCTGTATCAGCATTCTTTGATCATAAAATCACAGATTGGGTTGGGTTGGAAGGGACCTTTGAAGCTCATCTCATTCTACCTCCTGCCACGGGCAGGAACACCTTCCACTAGCCCAAGTTGCTCCAAGCCCCATCCATCCTGGCCTGGAACACTTCCAGGGATGGACCAACCACAGCTGCTCTGGGCAACCTGTGCCAGTGTCCCACCACCCTCACAGGGTGCTCTCCCTGCTGTGCAACACACCCAGCTTTGGCAGGGACTGGGGCAGGAGGCAGCAGGACAAGGCACCTGTACAGACCGTGCCAGGGTGCAAAAAAGGGCTTCTACTGCCCAAGGCCATCCTCAGTGAGCAGGGTTGGGGAGCAGGAGGGCAAAGACAGAAGTCTCTGCAGCTCTGGGACAAGTGGTGCTTCGCACTCAGACACAAAGGAGCTCTTCCATATCCATCACAACTGGCCAGGACATCAGGGGATGCTGACAGGATCTGCGGGATCCTGCTGACCCCAAGCCGCCCACAAAACACAAGAGAAGGAATAGTAAAAGGTCACCCTGAGCATCGAACCCTGTTTCAGAGGGCCTCCTTTTCAGAGGCCTCACTGTTCAGTGCTCTTCCCACGTCCCATCTGCTCCCGCCATGACCTAGTTCATCAATTACCTCTTTGTCCAGTGAAGAATCCCTGCAGCATCCCCAGCACGCCAGAACGGCCCCTCTCATTGTGCTGAGTGGGAGCCCAGTCTTTATTTTCTTCTTAGAAATGCGGCTGTTTGTCCACAGATTAGTGCTGGCACGTAGACTAGGGGAGAAAATGGCCTTTCAAAATGCTGAGACTTGTTTGAAGGCATCCCAGGAGCCAGGGGGGGAGGAGGAGAGGGTAGAACAAGGATGAGAGGCAGGAAGGGGGGTCTTGAGGGATAGCCTGCAGATAGGGCACATCCTGGCATCACCAGCATGGTTCAGAGCACCCAAAACCCTGCTTTAATCTGAGCCCATAATCCCAGCTCCAATTCAACCCACAGTGGTGAGACCAGGCCTGGGCACAAGAGGAGGCTTGTCACCTCCAAGGCTCCCCTGCTCCCAGGGAGAGGGGAGACAGAGCTTCCACCACAATCTGGGGACACTGCCCATGTCCCCATGCTTTCAGATGCACCCCAGTGAGTGGGAGCTCTCTCCACATACAGCACCCAACACCCACCTCCTCACTCCCCAGGGCAGAGGAACCGAGGGAGCAGTATATGGGCAGCCAGGAAATGTTTGGATACTAGGAGCCATGACTGCAGGGAAACCTGTCCTTGCCAAATTAAAGCCATGGAATTAGCAGGCATTTTGAAGAGCAGCCCCAAGGCAATGCCTTCCTCTGGGGCTCCCTCACCTGCAGACACCTGAGAGGCACCCGCAGGCACAGGGAAAGGTCCAGCTCCCCGGCTGGGCTCACGGGCTGCCTGTCATGGCCTCCAGGCCACGAGGCTCCAGCAGCTGCCAGGGAGTGATCCCGTGTGCACACACACCTGGCAGCCCAAAGCGTGCCACTACCCTCACGGCCACGGCTGGCTACAGCCCAGGGAAGGCCTGGCAGAAGCAGGCAGGCATTGGGGTTTATCCCTTCTCCTCACCAATGCAACACCCTTGGCTCCCACGTAACCCACCACTCGGCACACCGGCCCTCCCACAGCTTGGGGCTGCGTCCATGCACGGCCGGACACAGCCCCAGGCACCTGCCCAGGCTCTGCTCTGAGGATGCAACTCTAGGCTTCACATTCTTCCTTTAGACAGTGACCTTTCCTGAAATAAAGGAAGAACAGACTCTCCTCCCCTCACCCACTGGAGAGCCAACCTGCTTACCCTACCACTGTTTCCAGTGTTTCTTTCCATTATCAGGAAAGAAGAGAGCTTCTCCCCAGTCGCCTCTGCCAGTAGGCAGGAGGTCAGACTGGCCTGGGGAACCTCACTGGACCAGGAAGCCCAGTGCCTGATGGCTGGAACCATGGTCTGGGGGGCAGCATGTAAAGCTTATCTGGTGCTTACTAACATGCCACGCAAAAATGTTTTGTGAGTCGGATCACTCTGCAAACAAGATACCTTTGCCAGGGCAGCACAGTGTCAGCACTGGGGTCCACAAACTGGGGAACCCACCCTTCCAGTGGAGAAGGGGGTGTGCACTGACTGCATCTATGTGCATGTGTGCACACATGTGCAGGACTTGGCCTTCAGCAGGGTAGGGTACCGAAGGATATCTAGAAATCTGTAGGTGCTTATCAACATTTTGTAAGCTCTAACACTGAGGTTTTCCAGTTACCAGCAGTGTTGTGCTGCTGATAATGATCCTGATGCTTCACTGACAGCCAGTTTACATCTCACCAACAAACCAGTAACTCACTTCATTCCCCAAATGGTGTAAACCACAGAAGATGAGTGGTTTTCTCCTGCAGTGCGTGGGGCGCAGGGCTCCCTTCCTGTCCTGCCCACAATAGCTCAGATAGAGGGATGGGTGCTCCTCAGCTCCCAGGTTAAAACACAGATCAAAGCCAGGTAACAGTGGTGCCATTAGATGAGATCATGTGTCCAAGACAGGTGAACAAAACCCCTCAGTAAAGTTACTCAGCATTTATCTCTGGCAACAGAAATCATCCTTGCTGTTTTTTTCATAATCCTCTTGTAGCAGCAGGAAAATGCAGTAGGTGAAGCAAGACAAAAATGGATTTGTTGACCAGTCCTACCTAACTGGTCCCTAAAAACATGACATCAGTATTTTTGAGTTCTTGACCCACAAAGAAAAGTATTTCCCAAATATTCTGGCCTGGGGAGGCTAAAGCCAGACCACAGCTCCTGCTGCCCAGCGAGGGGATGGTTTCGCGCAGAGGAAACCGACATTCACCAGCACAAAGATGTCAGGAACAGCCCTGCAGCCAATAGTTCTTCAACATGGAGCAGGCAGCTCTCCCTGGATGCTATCAATTAGCTTTTCATAGACATTCTCACATATATGTGAATATCAAGTCTAAACTTGGCTGTTTGCCTCCAGCTAACACCAGAGTATTCAATCTCTCCAGTCAAAAAGACAATGCTCTGTTGAAAAAAAAAAAAAAAGAATTGGGAAGGCAAATTCTTCTCTCCATAGGAAGGCAAATTAAAGTAAATTACACAGCAGGGATAAATGGATACTTGCATTTCATTTGAGTTTCAATGCATTTTTCATAAAAGAAAATAAATTCAGTCCAGTAAGTAGCCTCCTGGGTAAGTTACTGGCAGGATAAATAATTTTCACTTTGCAAATTCAAGGGCTTCAGGACTGGTATCACACCCTGGATTGCAATCCCAGCTGTGATTTAGCTGCTCTGATTTCAAACCTATCCCTTGTCAGGTAAGAAAGAAATGAGGAAGTCATACAACAATCAGCTGAGGTCACTTGGTCTGTTCAGCCTGGAGAAGTGGAGGCTGAGGGGAGATACCATCACTGTATACAACTTCCTCCCGAGGGGCAGTGCAGGGGCAGCTCTGATTTCGGTTCTCTGTAAGCAGCAACAGGACCTCAGGGAACAGCTGGAGCTGTGTCAGGGGAGGGTTAGGGTGGATATCAGGAAAAAGTTCTTGCCCCAGGGGGTGTTTGGGCACTGGAACAGGTTTAGGTTGGATATTAGGAAAAGGCTCTTCCCCCAGAGGGTGTTTGGGCACTGAACAGCTCCCCAGGGCAGAGGTCCCAGCCCCAAGGCTGACAGAGCTCCAGGAGTGTTTGGCCAATGCTCTCAGGCACAGGATGGATTTTTGGGCTGTCCTGTGCAGGGCAGGAGTTGGACTGATGAGCCTTGTGGGTCCCTTCCAACTCTGAATGTTCTGTGATTCTGTAAAACCTTAGGAAAGATCTATTTATCCAGAAAATTTAAACAAAAAGGAAAGTCATGAGAGAACTGACAGCTAAAGTATCCTTTTGCTGAAAAC